GATTATAATTTCCAAAAATTTTGCTACATACTGAAACTTTTGAGTAACTTTGCACTCCGCCCCCTTGGGATAGCCGCAAGTCTTTGAATCACTCTAGACGAGTTGAAAATCATTATTAGTGTTGTTGGTTGTTAACTACATGTCGATCTTCGAGTTTTATCCTTTGTTTATTACGGTCACCAGAACTAAAAAACGATAATCGTGAATACCTTGATTCTACTCTACTAGTTGATTATGAACATCAAAAAGAGGAAAAATAGCTCTGTTATGTTACTTTAATATTAGCAAAGACTACCAGTGGCTGGTGATGCAAAAAATTCCTTGGGGCTTGGCATCAGCCGCTTTTTCTCATACAATTCAAGCTTCTAAGCATCTGAAAGACTCAATAGTTCCAAACCTCGTTCAGGAAAAATCTAGACATAGCTCTATTCTGCAACCTTTTGCTCACCACTAGGTGCCCATTTCATCACTATCATATTCACTTTTTTACCTATACTGCGCACTAGACAACAACAGAGGATCTCATGAGATGCAGAAATACGGGAAAAAGCTAATTATCCCTTCCGACTCCAAGAAGATATAAACTCACATTGTTCCCATGTTCACATATTTCCTATGTTTGCTTCCTAGTGTTTGCGCAGTAAATACCTAGAATTACCTAAGAACATTGTCTATTTGCGTAAATGTGGGTAAAGGTACCCACTTTTTACGCTCTCCTAATCCTCGAAATTTGCATTTCAGAACTCGTAATGTGAAGTAGTCAATGTGCAGTAGGTTACTCGTGAAACAATAAATGTTTGTTGGGTGTTGCACACATGTGTAACATGTGCCTGGGATAATTTTTTCTTTTTTCCTCTTCAAAATGTCTCTCACTTGACCTTAGCTCGTCTTCGTCCTGCTCTCCACCCAATTTCTAATTTGTTGGTGATTTGTGTAATTTTTATGGTTGAGCAATTCAATTTTCTTATTGTTGGTGTGACAATTTCTCATATACAGGGTATCTCAAAAGTATGTTTACACTGTTTGATCGCTATATTTCTCTTCCCAAGAAGTCTTTTGCCTACTTAAGGTACTAGTTCGCAGACCTGGCCTCAACCTAGATCTACAGTATAGAGCGAACCACCGATCGCTTTTCATTACTGTAGGATTATGGTAGGAACTTTTGGCTGACACCGTCATTGTGGATTAGTGTTTCACGAAAAAGTTTCCAAAAATTCTGAAAATTGTTGTACCAGAGATTCTGCACGCGCCGATTTCAATACTCAACGTTCTAGAGTCTTATAAAGCTTTTCAATGGTGTGTTCACAATCTTCGGGAGCATTGTAAAGACAGCTATTACGGTAACCTGGCCTGGTATAAGTTATGAGGGAAGCATCAGGTCAAATGCAAAGTTCATATTTGGTTTTAGCGACTCTAATTAGCCTAGTGTAAAAGTTTCCACATTGTTTGGTTTGCTTGGCGAAAAAGGCCCTCAGTGGCTCAGAACCCTTCTTGAAGTTCCTACCTTAATCCTACAGTAATGAACAAGGATCGTTGATTTGCTCCATACTGTAAATCTAAGTCTAAGTTAGCTCTACAAAATGATACCTGAAGAAAGGCAAAAAACTTTTAGCGAAGAGAGGACGATCAAACAGTGTATACTTTTGGGACACCTTGTATTGATAAGTCACGACTGGTGAATGTGCTACTTGAGCTTAGAATGTCAGGCTGTAAGCAAAAACTTTCAGGTGACTGTCTTCGTCACATCTCCAACCTTAATACTCGATAGTCGGTCTTGCATTTACAGCAAAATGCTGAAGACATCTGGTTGCCTCCGGTTTTTTATGAAGTTTTCCGAATGCAATTTTTGTATAGCAAACTGCAATCTAATCAAAACTCTTCCTTTCTGCCATTATTCTAATTCAATAGTGGCGAATAGAGATAAAAAAGTGAGAGAGCTATCTTCCAGAAGAACTAGTAGATGCTGCTGACTTTATCCCGAGAGGCATTATGATTGAAGAGCGCGCTGTAATAATTACTTGGTAATCTTATGCCTTGCATGCTCATCAGAAATGTGGCTGATGTGCGAAGGAAATGCCGCATGGCTTTGAAATGTACCCCGTCCATCATCGTTATTGACGCTTTTTTGTCTAACACCATTGCCTCGGAAAGATCCTTACAGCCGCCCTATGCTTTATGGAATCCATGGTACCAGAATTCCTTTAGATTTTGCTAAGTTATTTCACTGCATGACCGTTCGAATCCCTTTTCTGTTATCATATCTTGACCAAGACTGACAAGGGAAGGATGTTGAGTTGAAATGGCCCTTTGAGATATGATGCATAACATCTTGAAGAGCATGAACTGCAGATTCCAAATCTGCTTTCCTTAACTGCGGAGCATATACAGTCCGTGTTAACGATGTGTTTTTTTCCTGATCACGCGTCTAAAGCCTCGTATCGCGTTCGCGGGCGTACCGCTTAAGCGTTCAATTTTGCCCCAATGGGCTCCGCAATGCGCATGCGCTGCGGATGCGTAGTTGCTACGTAAAAGAGAGCGTGTGATTGACACAAACTGTATCTGGACGAGAAGTTATAAGCGTGTATTCTAGAAACTGAGTGCCCGACTATGATGAATTAGTCGTGGTATTCTTCTTAGCCCCAAAATGGATCAGCGACGACTGTCAAGGCGATATAAGCAACAAATACTCTCAGTTCAAATACTTTCACTCACCGCTGCCTCATTTGAGCTAGGAAAATCTCAATGATTAACTTTATCCGATTTGCTCTTTCAATTTTTTGCATCTACAAACCTTCATATCTCCTCGCACAGAAGTACTCTCCAGATAAGGAATGCAGGTTTTGAATCAGCACTTCATGCCTTCCAAAAAGTATGCATTTCGTTTTGAACGGCCTCTTCGGTTGAATATCCTTCTCTTGTGAGTGAATCGAAGTAGCTTAGGCTCAGATAATTAGTGGATTATGTAAAATTTATTTGAGATTGGCGATCGACTAAGCTACAAATTTTTTTATTTTCCAACTTTTGTCTTCAATGCAGATATTCTTTTTTCGTATTTTATATTATAAACTACAAATCTGGCCATTGTTCTGCCTTCTTCCGACATTGCAGCAGCTTTACGGTAGATATACGGTGGAGGGTAATTCAAACATTGAGCTAGAAATTTGGTCTAGAGAGGTTATATTAGATCGTCCCGAAAGTATTTTCGCTTTTTTCAAACGGTTGCCACAATCGATGGAACAAACCTTTCTAAGATCTTGGCAGTAATCGATGCAGAATTTCATTCTCTTTCTAATGGTTATAAAACTGTTGCAAAATAGTCAATGAGCTTTCAGAAAATAACCAAAGTCTGCGACCCATGCTTTTTAAGATGGTCATGTTTCACGATTTTTTAAAACTTTCATATCAATCCTCAGAAGGAGTTCAAGTAAGGATTCGATAGAGTGAACCTCATAGAATACAGTGCAACTTTTGTCTCTTTTCCATAGCTTGTCATACATTTTTAATAGAATTTTAACTGATGCTACCGATTTCCATACTTGGACAGCTAAATCCTTGTAGAACATCAAAGGAAGAGCAGCTCGGGTGCTGTTTGATGCAGCATTTTCTCCTCTTTCTAATTGGTGTTTTTTGTTTCCGATTCGTTTAGTTTTCGGGGATAAAATCATCACAATTCATTTCTTTAAGGAGCCCCAGGCTGTACCCAAACACGAAATTTGATATTTCGAATCCGTAAACTCTCATTTGCTTTATAAATTCAATATTAAGTCATATATCATTTTGAAAGCTTGAAATTCCGAGTAACTACTGATGTTTGATGCGATTGTGGGTGGGAGGGACTGCCAAAATCCGATGGCTTTGTTAAAAAATCTTAAAAAAAATTACGGCGAGCTACGAGAAAGAGAAAAAAGAAGTACTGTATTCTATGAGGTTTACTCTATCGAATCCTTACTTGAACTCCTTCTAAGGATTGATATGAAAGTTATAAAAAAATCGTGAAACTTGACCATCTCAAAAAGCATGGGTCGCAGATTTTGGTTATTTTCTGAAAGCTCATTGACTGTTTTGCAACAGTTTTATAACCATCAGAAAGAGAATGAAATTCTGCATCGAACGCTACCAAGATCTTAGAAAGGTTTGTTCCATCGATTGTGGCAACCGTTTGAAGAAAACGAAAATACTTTTGGGACGACCCAATATAATACGCTTATCACGAAACTGATACCTCTCGCAGGCATGTAGGGCCTTTTTGTGAGGTCACGATGAATCTACGCTATACAAAAAGTGAAAGAAGCTATGCTTAAAATTTCAATACTTGTTTGTTAATTTATCAAATGCGAAGTTTATGATAAATAGTGCGATAAGTTATAGGCATAACTAGTTTGTTCAAATTTATTCTTGAGGTATCATATGCTAAGTCATAGGCTCAACATATGTTGTTTCTTTGTTGTTTTAGCTTGTCTAGGGCTCTTGCTCCAAATCGCTTCGGTTCTTCCGTTCGGCTTTTTTCAGTGTTTTTACGACAACACAAATTACTACTAAGTTACCCCCACCTTACGATTAGAAGCAGGACATAAATGAATTTTTACTTTCAAAAACCTCTAATCAGACCAAAAAAAGTTATATTAGTTGAAGCCGATTGAAACTTTTTAAAGCTTATGAATTTTATTGTAGATTCCGCATCTATCGTCAGCCACCATTGCACTCCATAAACTGAAAATTTTTACTTCCTACGCCGACTTAATTTCCTGTTTTGTTGCTGCTCAGCGAATTCGATTACTTAGCTTGAGTAATTGCCTTTTCACGGAGACTGATATATTCATCCAGGAACTAAATTTACATATTCTGTTTGTTCTTCTTCCGTTATGCAAAATATGTACCTTGAAAGCTGTCTGGTTTTCATGACTGGTACTCTTCTTTCTTGTTCTTCCACTTCTTCTTTGCACTTGTAATTTCGGACCTTCGTAAAACCATATAGCTCTTGTAATAGACTATCTACCTAATTTCAGAATGTCTTCTCGTCGAGTTTCGCTTCCAGTCGCTCTTCACACCCTCAACACACCTCAAACGATCTATTCGGGAGTTTCTCGACTTTCTCCTCCTTCACCTCATTCAGCCAGGAGGTTTGTGTAATATGTTCATATTTCAATGATATATCGAGTACATTCGTGCGCTTTTTTGGTTTCAGAATGGAGCTTTATGTAAATTTAAGTCTTCTTGAAGCTAGATCTGCCTTGACATTCTTTTCGTTAGCAAGGCTTATTTATATGAAACTCGATCTTGCTACTTTATCATCTGTTATCAAGAGCGCAAATCATGGGAAATCAAACTTCAATAAAAGTTAAATGCTTCATATGACTTTTTAACTTCAATACATAAGGCTAAACTTCCCGGCAACTTCCCTTCTCCTTGAAGGTGTTGGCTTGCATGCTTGACTTTATAATTAAATTATAAAAAATCACAAAAATCATCAAGACACATAAAGTGCTTATTGATAGTTTAACGCCCAATTATAAAAAATCACAAAAATCACAAAAATCATCAAGACACATAAAGTGCCTATTGATAGTTTAACGTCCAATAATCCTCAAGACTTTAAGGTGAGGCCTATCATCAGCAGTGTTGGAGGTCCTACGGATAGGATTTCGTGGTTTCTCAGTACTATTCTCTCTCAACTACTAAGATTTGTCCCCGCACACCTCTCCAACACCAGAATGTTTCTTGATCGTCTCCGCAACACCAATGTAAGACAAGGGTGCGTCTTGGAGTCTTTCGATGTGGAATCGCTCTATACCAACGTCTCCAACGACGCCGCACTGCAAGCGACCTTCGAACTTCTTGTAGAACATCAGTCGTCACTCAATCTTTATGGTCTTAGCATCAGAGGCATCTTGTCGTTGGTCAAAGAATGTCTCAACTGCTCCATATTTCGTTGGTGTGGAAACTATTACAGGCAGATTAGAGGATTGGCTATGGGGCAGAGACTAGCGCCGACCTTGGCTATTGTTTTCATGTCAAAGGTGGAAGCCCCAGTTTTGGCGAGCAAGCCTCTGCTCTACTGTCGGTACGTGGACGACTGCTGTATCGTATGTCCTACCCAGGCCGAGCTTGATGCGTGCTTCAATATCATGAATGCCCAGGACGTTAACATCAAGTTGACGAGGGAGAAACCCAAAGATGGATGGCTGCCGTTCCTCAACGTACAGTTATGTTTATCGAACAGGGGTTTCAAGACCAGATGGTACCGAAAGCCGAGCAGCAAAAACATCTTAGTACACCATTCTTCAGCACATCCCGCACGAATAAAGGCCTCCATCGTGGGGAACCTGTTTAGAACGGCTGCAGGGGTCTCTTCGGATAAGGACGAGAAGATGCGTTCGCTTGAGCTCGCAGAATCAGTAGCAAGATCTAATGGATACAGCACGAAAACTCGTCACCCTTACAGATACCGAGTCCATCGTACACTGCCTAGATCGGGAGCTGATGATCAGATCCCATTCTGTCTGCCATATATCTCAGAAGAGTTTAGTAGGGCTGTTCAGATTACTTATTAAGATTACTTCATCAAGCAGGCCTCAACGATATGGTAAGGATCGTCGACATTCCGCCCGCAAACCTTAAACAGCAGTTAGTACGAAACCGGGAGTATGATCGTCTCTGTACAACTCCTAATTGTGTGATTTGTCCATACGGAAAGGAAGGAGACTGTATGGTATCAGGTGTTGTCTACCTTATCACGTGTACATCATGTGGAGACACGTATATTGGCGAGACGGGTCGCCCCCTATGCACGCGCATCAAAGAACACTTAGATGGTCTCAGCAAGGGCAACGTAGCTACTCCGTTAGGCATGCATCGCAGGCTCAGCCATGACGACGCGGAGGTGGCGGTGCAGGTTCGAATCCTAGCGCGCAAGACACTCGAAGCGTTTTGGATAGCCGCCCAAAATCCAAAAATCAACCGGAAGGACGAGTGCCTAGCCATTACTAACGAGCTGTCGCCATATCAGAGCCTCTGTGGGCTTTTGAATAATGGGGTCAGGTCAGAACCGGGTCACTAGTTAACTATAAAAGTAAAGCAGTACAGCTTTTTGACATAGTGGTCTGCACCCACCAAATTTTCATCTGCTAAGGTGAGCACTAGCTTAATCTTAGTTTTGGTTGAGGCTGTTGTTTTTCTTAAAGGGTTGGGCTCTTTTCTGTAGTCGATGAGGTGTTTGATCGGATAGTTTACTTATGTGTCTTCGACTTTTTCAGACTCTGAAGAAGGCGAGTTCGCCGAAACGTTAGTCTGTTATTCTGTGCGATAAAGTTCTGTACCAATCTTGGATTACGCTCAAGCAATTAACGAGAAGATTGAAACTATGCCAAGATTCATGGATAGTCGAACATGGATGCTCACAAAAATTGGCTTTTGATTTTAACAGATTTAAAATAGTCTTATTTGAATTCCAACAAATTCACACTTTAAGACATCCACTGTAAGTCCTCGGACAGAGTTCACAAATTTGATCGTTGCGATTCAATCGTCGCGATGTCCATTCATTTTCATTTTACTTTCAATAATTTCGGGCTGGAAAAGTATCACAACCGAAATGCAAGCTGTTCGGCATGCAATGAACTCGTAACAGTTGTCTTGTCGCGATTGAGTAGCGACGATCAAATCGCGTGAACTCTGCCCGAGGCCTAAGGGGGATTCATCTTGCATAGTGTCCATTTACTGGATGGTATGCTGCTGGTTCTCATTGGTAAACCTTAAATTGTCCAACTTCTTGATTTGAAATTTTTTGCTTGTTCCTGGTCCTAGACGCCAATAAGTTAAGAGCACTCTCATCTTTACTGCAAGGAAGTCTTTACGTCTTTGACAACGCATAGATATTAGGGGAAAGAGTGCATGACAATAAATGTCGTACCCTCCTGCTCCGGGCCATAAAGCCTATTGCTGCACTAACCTATTTCGACAGAATGTCCTCTTGTTGTCATGCTCCGAAAGCCATTCCCAGGACTTCTAAAGATATTGCAGAACTCATAGTAAGTTAGGGGTAGCAAGCTTGGGACTGGATGTTGGCAGAGCATGTGTAAGACATGCTATAATTATTATATGGTTGAGAATAAATCGTTCTAAACAAAGTGACTTTTAAGAATTTAGGTAGTGTTGCAAAATGCAGTAATAAATCTGTACTATCTTATATCAATAACTAAGTGGCGCATGGAGAGGAAGTGTGTGGGGTCTCAAAATTCTCGAAACTTTTCTATGTGAGCATAAAACCGCGTCAATGTCTCCTGTTTACATCCCTGTATCTGAGGTATTAAGTAGAATTTTCCAATTCGTGACGGTTTCAAATAAATTTCGAGGATGTAGGCCCACTAAAATGTTGGAAAACATTCGACAGAATTTCAAAAAGAACGTGGTTAAAGCCAAGTTCCTGAATTTAAATTGTTACCTTCTTCCTCCCCCCCCCCTTCTCCTCCTCTCCCCCTCCCTCACCAACGAAATTTTTCTATGAGCGCCATTGCAATAATGGTAAATAGTCTTTCGATGCAATGGTGCTCAAACACCCTTTTGCCCTATCTCATTTTTTGACAGCATCGGTTGTTCTAAAAGTAGCTCAATAAAGTCCTGCTGAGTTTTGAGTCGCTGTATCTCAGTGCTCTATAGAAAGAGAAAATAAAGTTTTCAAATATTCCTCGTCTAATCCCTTTCCTTAGACGGAGCTTTCAATATCTAGGCCTTCTCCGAAACTCCCAGGCACGAGCACTTTATCAAATTGCATCCACTTGAAATCTACAGAAAATAGGAGCTCTCTAATTTTTTTTTTGCAAAAAATCCAAAAGGATGACTAAAAAGGTGGACCAAGAAGAAGAATGTTAAGTTGAAAAGTGCTCAATAAAACAGACAACTGTAGTATACCTCTTCTTTCTGCTGGCAAGTACATAGTATTGATGCACTGAGAAAATGTGCACTCTAAAAAGATTTTCCTTCAAATTGAATGTCTATTTGAATGAAATTTCTTACATATTTCAGGTCAAGTAATTTCGTTGGAAGTCCACCGTCATCAGGACCAAATTATGGGCATCGTCGTTCTCTGCCAGGTACACCACATCAACGAACTCGCCACAGGGTCCTTCCGCATCTCGATGAGGATCAAGGCAGTAGCTCAAGGTGGGTTTATGCGAGCTGAATCAAGATCTAGAATACTGTGATCTGCTTCTGAAATCAAGCGCTTATGATCAATACGATCAAAATTTTTAAAAAAAATTTCAAATAGTGTTTACTTAGCTAAGCATCGCGGTAAAACAAAAATAGGGAACCATCTACGATTTTGAAGCGATGAATAAGTGGCGAGGGCGTAAAAGAAAGCACATACAAATTCAAAGAAAAGTTCTGAAGAATAATTCGTAATGAACTGTCAGTAGTGCAGTGTTGGACTCGCTTCCAAGGCTTACTCTAAGAAAAGCTATAAAATTCCGACGATTTGTCCTTGTAATTAGTCGCGTGCAAAAAATATCGCAAACCGTTTTTCTTCCAAACGAAAGCATAACTTTATTTGTTTCTTTGAACCCTATCATGGTAATCAAAAGCATGCTGACAATGAGTCTGCAAGCAGCTGCTAAGGATATTCCCCAGAAAACTGAAAAATGATCTTCTTTTTCGACAACTTTATGCGCTCTATATTCTATGAAAACGTTGATTAGAAGCTCAAAAAAGATCCACAGGAATCGATCAATATTCTTATTGTTAGCTAAAAATGTTTTATTAGGAAGTAACGGTACACTTGCCCTATATCAAATCGGTGAAGGTTGGAAATTTTTTGTGGGGGTAACGCAATGGGAATTTGCTAGTAAAGGGGCTTGGCACTAACCGCTTCATCCGAGAAAAATCCTAAGAAATGTTTTTTTGTATGTATTTTAGCTTACCCCGAAATTCAGAACATAGGGCTAGCGGGAGCCAAGCCCGAAAATTTTTATCAGAATGAAGCTAATTTGGATCGCAAAGAAGTTTCAAGAATTTTTTTCCAATAGAATATGAAGTAATTAGCAATTTCTTGTGCTACACAAATCAACTGCCTCATTTCCACTAGGCAGATAGTATAATAAAATGAAAATCTTTTGAATACAGAGTCCCTGATTCGGGTGACAAAGACGGCCTCCGAAGTATTAATCTTGACGAAACCGTCGGAATCAATAACTTTGTTCAAAAAGGTTTTCTCATGTTCGGATTTTGATATTTTGGAAAGGGATTTTCACAAGGATTCGAAAAACCTTCGAAAATCTAGAATCTACTTTTATACGAAAGGTTTTCAGTGAATAAGCCGACAAACCGTCGCGGCGATTTAATAAAATCCCTCTAAATGAAAGTAAATTCTGGACATTTGATGGTTTTTCAAATTGTTGTGCAATTTTTATTCCGAATATTGAAATCCGATTGCAAAGAAATTATTTTGAACAAAGTTATGGATTTCCGACGGTTTCGTCAAAATTAATACGTTGGAGACCGTTTTTCCACCCGAATTAGGGGCGTCAGTTATAGAGACATTTCCAGGATAATATACCAAAAAAATGTATACACCCTAGAGATTGAGCCCAACATAGTCTTCATTCATATCATGAGTAGCTGCATAGAAGTGCAAAGCAATTTTGAGCACATGTACTTCTAATGCCGTGTCGTTTGAAATCCCTCTCCTCTTCACCGGTGTTCTCATTTTTCATAGGACTCAAACATACCCATCTTATAGTATAGTTTGACTGGAGTATGAGAAAATTTGATTTTCTTTCTACACGAAAAATAAAATTTACAAAAATTGTGTAAAATTGAGGCTGCTATTACCTTCCAAATCTTGTAAATATAAATGAGACAGTAATTTTCCGACTATGAATTAGTTAACAGGTAGTGCTTGTTTTCGGATTTTCAAGACTCTGAGCTCTTTATCATCTAATTTGTTAGAAATGAGTTACTAACATGCGAAAAAATTATTTATTTATTTTAATGGTCGTATCAAGAGATTCGAAAGCCCTTTGCCGTTCCTATAATTATCATATATTCGAGTCATTCTCAAAGGTTAGGCTATCTCAGAAAAAGGTATCACTTTTTCGCAGCGAATCATTCATTCCACTGTAACAAAAGCCTTAGACCTTACCGTAATCCTTCGTATGAAATGGCTGAGGGAAGAGAAGCAGAAGAGTTTTATTACCCATTATCATAGATGTGATTTTTACTTTTTGCGATAGGCTCACAAACGTGATTTTTAGAAAGGAGCTTGGTTAGCGATTATTCGAGCCTAACAATAATTATAGCTAAAAAAAATTCTGACCATGTCACTGACGATTGCACATATCACTAATTAGTCCTTTAGAGGTATTCATTTGATATTTGCCATAAGAGAATGAGTAGACGGGATAAAATTAGGGAAATCTTTTTGTGGGGCAGATAATTTATCTATCTGTGCTAACGAAAGAACAATTAGTCAAAAACACAATAATATGAGATGTGCCTCATATTCGCTCTAGGGAATAAATTAGGCTCAAAATAATATGGGTGTCTCAGAAACTTTTTTTTTTAAAAAAAATTTTTTTTTTCCAAAAATTTCTCAGAAACTTTCTTGATATGATTATTCCATTCTCTTTTTCGAAACAATACATTGACAAGATGTCGCAGCACAAATTTTATTTAACGAAATGACTTGGATTAGAAGTCTTCACTTTTTAATTAGTAAAATCTAAGACCCTCAATGGGTCCAATGAAGCTGCTTTTATACTTTTTTTTGCACTCTAAAGTTGATCCGCCAATACGCGTTTCAAAATACTGCTCTCGAAAAGGAGTATAGCCCGAAACATTAGTTGTACCATTTTCTGCAGAATATTTGAGGTCAGCTTACTTATACGCGAACCATCCAACTTGTACACATTATACATATTCATCGCTCTTCTTTACCTTCACCAAGTTTTTGTGTGAGCAGCATACAAATGACCTTAATTAGACTTGCAATTACTTTCACTTCATTGCATGTTGCAAAAGTGCAATTATGCCGGTGTATACAAGGTGCATTTTCGCCCTTGATTATCACCCTAGTGTAAAAATGTGCGGTCTCAATTTCTATTGAGTAACAGAATGATATTCTTATACTGCACATACCTTAAATGCAAAGGAAATGCAGGTCATTATACTACTCTGGATCGGTTCTGGATCCACTCGCCGTCCGAATCAGATCCGGATCCACCCCGAATCCGCCGATTCCAAATACTCTCAGCACGTGATAGCAGCTTTGCGACCAAGTGTTGGCCGCCATGCGTGCTGGGATTACTTGGAATGAGCGGATCCGAAGTGCATCCGGTTCTGATTCGGATCGCTGGTGGATCCAAAACGGATCCGGCACCGTGATTACAAATGCTCCAATCTGAGCAACTATGGACCACACCTCAAATATCTTCTTGGTTTATTTCAGATGCAGTACTTGGTTGTATTTGTTTTCAGTATTTATAGCTGATCATCTAAGGATTCCTAACATATAAAGTGATAGTTTTTCGAGCTTCAAAAGTTTGAGACTTTCCCAAAAGACGTCATCGCGGGTCGTCGTTCCTCCCTAGTACACTTCCTTGCTATTTCTGCATATTCACTGAGTCTGAATCGGTTGCATGTGCGTCACTTCCACATCCGATCCATTCAAAGTCGCCCCAAACAACCATGCGTCAGCTTTAGCGCAACTTTCGTCACCAACTTCATGAAGATCTCATTGTCCTGAAAATAGAATAGAACATTTGGGAATTTTGTTCTTTAGCCGTCATTTGCTATATATATTCTCGAATACAACTGGCATTTCAAGACTCTCCCAAATGCACAGAGTTCACCCATTTCTTATTGAAATTCGAAGTCTAGACGATTCAGTTTCCAGTTATCAGCTGCTAAACTACTTCGTGTAACCCAGAATTTATGGAACCGTAACGAGAACAAGAGGAAATTTTTTCCAAACCTTCATACTCTAAATTTTGGCCAGTTCTAAGCGGTGTTCTCATTGTTTGTCTTCAACGTATTAGGTTGTAACATGATTTTTGAGACACTTTTCTCATTTTCTCTTAGAAAACTCTAGAAACTTTGACTAAGTCAAATAATTGGCACATATGAGCAGGAGTATCTACTGGCATCATTTCCACCTTTACAGGCTTGGGTTACAGTAAATATAAAGGCAATTTTGTGACGGCACTCAAACCTCCATTTTTTTCTTTTGCCTTCAGAAGCTCACGCATTCTTATTTTCTATGCTCCGATTTTTTTTGGAATCCTAGGGACATTAGTATTAATTTGAAGGAAGTTTGGAAGTCTATACTGTTCAATAACGCAAGTTGGAAATTTCCAACAATACAGAAAAACTTTAGAAAACTCGAAAATTGTAATTTCCACATGTAGAATGTATATATTGGAAAGATACAGCCCTCCATTCAATTTGGAGACGAGAAAAAACCTTTGATGAATGTTATGAAAACTTTTTCCTTCAAATGTACGAAACTTGAGTTACAACATTATAATAAAACCACAAAATCAAGAGCTTTTCAGCAGCGATAAAGGCGACTAATACATTTATGAATTTTCACTATTTATCGACTTTCCTCCTCCCCTGTCCTCCTCATTTTATGAATGCTCTGAGGATTTCACACAATTCTGTATTGCTCGGAAACTACGGAGAAGTTAGATAATCGGTCTAATTCTTCCGAAATCTTCCATGTAGAAGCCTGACTACTTGGTTTTATTTAATTTCAGTGATAAAGGTCAGTATTGAGAAACCACTGCTGTTCTGAGAATGCCTCGAAATTTCTTGCTACATCCAGAAATTATGAAGCCTCATTTGGCTAGATACTCCTTATGAATTCAGCCAATTTCATTTCCTTCATATGCTCTTATCCCAAATGTAAAAAAAGTCAAGGGAAATTTTCCTTGCTGGCGTGAGCCGCAAAAAATCTTGCACATTTTTTCGCAAATCATACATAGGGAGCAAGGAAGCAAAATTGGCACTAGAAAATTCCACTTGACTGCACAGGCGCATTTCCTTAATTCCGATTGTAACAATCGAATTTGTCCTTTCGAGTGCAAATTAGCCAGCGCCATTGCCCGCTTCTACGTATTAGAATAATTCCGACAATGGCCTAATGGCTGTTCATTTTTATCTTTTTGTGGACTCAAAGATAGCAAGACGATTACACGTACACTTTACCTCTTATGAAAATCTGGAAAAAGCTTTCTTCATCATAATGAAAATGTAGAAGTATTATATCCATTTATTATCAAGCACAAAATAGATTCTTGGACTATTGTTTCCTTTTTTCATAGAGTGAAACAGATGTAAAAATAACTCTGACGTAAGACTTGCTGTGCAGTTATTCTACTGATGTATTGCTTGTTACAGTTTTGCCCAGTAATTGGCTAAATGATCAAACCAAACTTCATGTCAAATTCCTTTTTTCCCACGCCCATTTTATGATTAGAGGCAGGCTCGAATGTCAGCTTACTCTTTTATTTAAGTAATTATAATATTTAGTTACTCATTAAACTCGAGCTGCACCAACAAAAGAAAGAAATTTGCTAGTTGTGTAATTCAGTTCTAGTAATGATTAACAGCTAACAATAAATCTATCCAAGTTAAGCTGCACATGAAAAGGATAATCGCTTTGTCTATAGAATGCTCTACTCGATATATTACAAGGAAAGGATGATCATGTAGTTGAAGTTGCCTTTTGAGATCGGATGCATATCTTACAAGGGAAGGATACTTGGTGATCATGGCTATTCATAAGATTAGTATATCAAAATGCGCCTTTTCATGCTGGTTCGATTACTGTCTTCCATTTCCGCGAAACGATAACCTCTATGAAGATATGATTATTTCTTCAAGAATAGATTGCGCTACTGCGGAGGATCAACATCATTAATAACAATTTTTCTTTCCTTTTCAAATGCTAATATGATTTGGATAGGTGTAAACACAACAATACTCCTTTTAAGGTTCGCGTCGATAGCTTCAAACGGTAAACTAAATACGCAAATTTTTATCGAAAAATTGTTCATAACTTCCTGCAAAAGATCGTTTCGCAGACATCAAGCACACATTCGGAATCAGCGTTTGAGGTGCATCTTATGGTATATATCGCATTCCAAATGGCTGCAGTCACCAAGTATCCTTTCCTTGTTAGAAGGCTTGAAACACTGATTCCAAATCTGTTTTCCTTATGTGCGGAGCATTTGCAGCTAAGAAGTTATGAGTCTTTGTTTTAGCTAAAATTTGATGCGCAAGTGAAACAAAAGTGTCGTAGCTTTTTCCTAATACTTAAATCAGGCATTGATAATTATCGAAGCATTTTATGCAAAAATATGCTCAGGTAGAATATGTCCATGCTTCACTGCTTTGTTCAAGCGGTAAGATGATTTTAGCAATTATTTTGCATCCTACTTAAGCGTTTTTTGCCATAATAAAGGCTCAAAACTCTTTTTTTAGAAATGCTGCTCAGATAAGGAATGCAGATCTGGATCAGCGTTTTTCTTGTTCTCTAAAATGGTGTATATCTCAGAAAGGCGACTTCGATCAACCACTCCCTACTTGTTAGAGTTTTGAATGAAAAAACTCATTACTCTGATTATGAGCCGTGTGCTATGCATTGTATGTTAGAAGAACGTCATTTACCATATATTTAGTTAATATGCATTGTGGAAATTACGGGGAATGCTCTGGGAATTATAGCTTGTTTTTGAAAGCGTGTGAGAAAACCTCTAGGATGATTTCATCTTATGGGCAGTCGTCAATTTTAACGAGAATTGAAACGTGTCCCATCCTATGGGTCACGCGATTCTACGCGGTAGCCATTGCGATGCGGTCGTCATTTTGCTCACAACGTAAGCGACAGAACAGAACTCATTTTCTTAGAAGAAACAACTTTTCTTCTTTTTTGCCACTTCTATAAGCCAAGAAAGTTGTAGAGCTTTACTGCAGAAATTTCTTCTGTTACAAATCTCTTTGACTGAATTCCATGCCCTACTTTTGCTTTGAGCTACCACTTAGAAACTCAAATTTTCTCGTAAAGTCAAGAGCGTAAGGAGTAGGGTGACTCAAATCAAATTATTCATGCTGCAGGTGAACATTTCTTGCAGCTGCCATGACGTAGCACCCAACTCTATACTAGATCTGTCGGCCTATGTGTGATTCACACTAGGTTTTGTATTTAAGAACTAGTTGAATTATTATGTTTAAAGAGCAAGTGTGTCGAGCTCTAATTGTGCCATGCAGGATGGAAGCAGATATTAGGTTGTAAATAAAGTTCTGCCAATCATGAGCGGCTGTCAGTCATACTTTGATCTAGACTACTGATTATATTTTTTCATGGATGCTCTTTTCCAAGAAGAGCGCTGGCTGCGCTCCGAAACATGTGGAGAGTTCGAATTTTGAGCCCTGAAATTAATAAGTTATTTTTACTTGGAAAAAGCCCCTACCGGAGCAAGTTATAGTCGGATATTGCTTCATCTAGTCAATACAAAGTAAATGAAATTCTTAAATCAAGCTTCTGCAAGTTCTGCGCGTCTATAATCTGGAAAAAATTTTTTTCGCATTTTCGCAGACTTAAGCACAGCGGATTTTTTTCCTTTGTTAGGCATTTCTTCTTGGTTTATCGTTCCTTTTTGAAGCTGGATAGTGTTTTGGTAGGTAAGGCCCTCGCATTGCATTCCCATTTTTTGAAGTAATCATGAGAAGAATTGGCAGAACTTTCTTTACAACCTAATAGTAATCTGCTGAGTTTTAAGTGTATGTTTGAATCTGCTTCAAGAATTTTGCCTTTTTGTTTTTGCCCTAAGTTATTTCAGATTCTTTTTTTTTATCGCCAATAAATACAAAACAGAGCTTACCGTTGTAAACTCTGAAAATAATCACATCTTGCAAGAAAAAACTGTACACTTGAATGATATCACTGAGTGTGTCCTAATTACAAATCTGTTTTCATTATTTGCTAAGCGATTGTCTGAAAGAAGCTATAAGAATCCACACTGAAGCATATTCAAAATCATTAATATCCGAGTTTTTTAGAAAGAAATTTGGGCGATGTCTTTAATTTTTCCTAACAGATATAATGCAAATTCTTGTGGCAAAAAACCGTTTATAACTTGATCAAGCAATCGCTTAGCAGATAACGAAAGAAGTTTTGGAATCAGCGCTTCTAGACAAATTCAGTGATGTGCGTCTCGTTAAAAATGTCAAAAGTGTCCCTTGTTAGACCCAGATTCTTTTCCTTCACTGGTTAGGAGTGGATGATGAATGAACGTAGCCTTAGGGGAGATGTTTAGCAGTTCAACGAGAAAGAAAAAGAAATAAAAAAGAAAGAAATGAATTAGTCAGCAAATTCGAAAATGACTTTATTATTTTAGTTCTGACAACTCTCCTCGTCACCCCTCTCGACCTACCAATCTGGCTAGGAGGTAAGATAATCGTTTTGATTTGGTTAAACAAGGCTGAGTTAAGAGGGGCAGGGCGTCGTACTTTTAGCGAGATTTACCGTTGGCAGTATATCAAATTATACTATAATCACTGTATGTCAAATACTTACGTTTCTTAACTGCATATACGTTGTAATACCTTCGGAATTTACGAAAGTTTTTTGAAGTTTTTACTATATTTTAAGGAAAGAAAATTCTTATTTAGTAAAATAGATATATATTAGGTCGTTCCGAAAGTTTTTTCCGTTTTTTCAAAATATCATAAAAACACGAGGAATGAAGGTAGGGAAAAGCTTCAAGCAGTATCCGACGCAGATTTTCTTCCTGTTTTCAACTATCATATTCCTGTGCCGCTTGTTCTTGTGGGCAGTGAGATAATGGCCGGAATTTCGAGCCCATGGTTGTTACCATGCCCAACTTTGGCAATTTTTCGCGTTCTTCTTTTTTGACTTTTGGAAAAGCTTTGATAGCACTCAGATTGAGTAAACAAAGTGCAATTTAAAGGAATTTTTTGGCGATTTCGATTGGCTTCTCAGTATTTTTTGAGGTAACTTTTCAGAAGTCTTCACTTTTTCGAAGTCACAAAACATACAAACACTCTGAACATCAACAAATCTTCCGTTTTCAAAACTCTCAAAAGTCGTTTATGATTGTACACTATTTTTACAAAGTAACTGAGCGTTTATCGCTTCGAAATATAAGATTTCGCATTTCGCGGGTACATCATGAGGCGGGTTCAAAATCAAGATTTATGGAGATTTCGCCAAAGACCCCACAAATTTGAAAGAAAATACATTCATTAGAAAGAGGAGAAAAATCTGCATCGAATGGCACCTTACTTGTGCGGCGTCTTATGTTCTATGGCTCTTGGCATCCCCAAAAGTGGAATTTGATAGCATCAGAAAAATAATTCTAAAAAAATTTTGAGGCTAGCTATAGATGCCGGAAAATTGCATTGAATTGCACATTATTTACTCTATCTGACACTGTTATCAAAGCTTTCGTAAAAGTCAAAAAAGAAGATTGTGAAAAATTGCCAAAGTTGGAATGGTAAAAACCATGGGTTCGAAATTTCTGCCATTATCTAGTGATCACAAGAGTAAGTGACATGCGAGTATGACTGCTAGAAAGAGGAAGAAAATCTGCGTCGGATAGTTCCCAAATCGTTTCCCTACTTTCATTCCGCGTGTTTTTATGGTAGGTTGAAAAAACGGAAAGAACTTTTGAAACGGCCTAATTTATACTTTGTTTTGGTTTTTCGAACTTTAACGGGTACTTTTTTAACTTGAAAATCAATTCTAAACGGCAAATTTATTGAAACTTTGCGACTCGTGATTGAATTCAACCGGAAAACTTTGCGAGGTGCCTCGATCTTCTTGAGATGCTTTCTGGAGCAAAGTCGTTTTCACTTTTGCCCAATGTTCAATACAAACTTTCGCTTGTTTTTTTTTTGATTTCGCTCCCATGCTGCCAGAAATTGCATTTGGAGTTTGAATTCGCATAAAACTGCACAAGTTTTTCTCAGTACCTATGACGCGGCCCTTTTTACAAATTATCTTTTGGGAAACCAAGCCATAATTTGCTTAACGTGTATTCATTTGTTTTTTGCTCGCTACATATTTTTGGGTCGAAGTAGACAAACTCACTAAACAGTATCTATTTTCGTAAATTATCATTTAGTATGTCAAACCTGCTTTCAAAAAACTGCGATGATTTATTTTTAATCTTTATTCTGTGAACTATGTATGTGACCATGCTACTAGTACCATAGCAAAACGCTTGTGGGAAAATAGATCAAGGAAGGAGCTGCCTGTCATGCATTGACTGTAATGCCAAAATTTCGCTTATCAGATATGATGTTCACATTCGACGAAAAATGACAGGATTCCAACAAGGAAAGGATACTTGGTAACCGTGGCCGTTTATAATGATTTGTAAATCAAAAAATGCATGTATGCATTTTTATATGCTTTTGTATGCTGCTTCGAAAACTATCTTTTTGTCTTTTGCGAAACGATAATCTGGACGTCATAATTATTTTTCCAAGAATCAATTACGCTACTGCGACGGGTGAAAATCATCAATAAAATTTAGTCGTTTCTTTTTAACTGCTGAAGATGATATAGGTTGTTATACATACAGCAGTGCTCCGTCAAAGATTTTCTCTAGTAGCATCAAACGGTAAACAAGACCAATTTTGATGAACTTAACTATCCGAAAGTAAGCAAATTTTTTGAGAAAAAATTTTATAACTCCCTTCAGAAGATTGTTTCGCAGATATCCAATACAAATTTAGAATCAGCCTTTCGAGATACGTACTATGTCGTAACCTTTGATTCAACTGGCTTAGCGGCTGGAAGGCGGGGCTTTGTAACCTGATTAATCTGCGTCTCTCCCTCGCGCGTGCTCTCTGATCATTACCTAGCCTTAATTAGGTAACGAAGCTCCGCCCTCCAAGCGCCAAGCCAGTTGAATCGAAGGGTACATCGTAATTCAAATGGCCACGTCACCAAGTATCTATTCCTTGTAAGTCACCATCCATCTAAATACATTCTTTTTTCCCCTCCGACGTGACTGTTTTTGTGTTGGTGAAATCGTGGAGTTCTTCAATAAATTTGATTTTCTGACAACTCCAAAATGTGGAAAGTCTTGTGCTAATTACTAGCCATGGGATCTGATTTTGAACTCCGTTTTAAGGTTTCTTTGAAAAGCACACTATTTTCTCGTGTAAACATGTGTTCTAAGAGCATGATTTTAACATTCAGTTTGATTTCTTTCATCAACACTGCGCGAAAAAATTTATTTTTTTCATATCCTCACTGAATACCAGAAAAACTTCGCATAATCAGCTTTCACCTTCTCTCAGCCGCTTCTTTTTCTGAGAAGCTTTGCACGCTAAAAACCCCTTAGTGGGGGTTTGCATGGAAATGTTTGAAAATTCAATATGGCCCAACATCTTTTTTTCTATGAAAATTATAAGCACCCTTGCTCATAGCTGCAGTTTCTCCTTATCTGCAGCTTCCATCTGTCCAGAAAAAATACGTCGCGCATAGATTTTTGCTAGGCATCTATTTTGGCACATCCATCTTCCAAAGCAAGAAGGCAAGCAGCACAATTCCTCTATTAATTCTGAGAATATCTCTGGAATGATTTTCATTGGCACCACAATTCACTAGAGGTTCTGCTCCAAAAATAGTGAGTTTCTTTGACGTCATGATAATTTATAAACATTCTTCGTCGGTCATTCCTTTGGGACGCGCCTAGACTTCGCAATCACGCCCCCAGTCTCTTTCGTCTTTCTAAATTATTTATTAAACGTGTCTGTTATCTCAGCTGATTGCCTCTATTTATAAATCAAGTTTGACTAAAGTTTTCTATGCAGGAAATTTGAACATTTTGCTGGTTTGAATTCAAAAAGAATCATTTCAGCATTATAGCGTTTGTAAGCCGTAATGCCTACCCTATGCTACGCGTACTATGATCTCTTCTTTTGAAGAACTTCACATCAAATATGGTCAAATCTATCATGTGTCCATAAATTAAATTTACAAACATGAATATGGGAGTTGTTACTAACTCAAAATTATTATTATAAAGTTCAATGCCATCTAATAGTATATAACTTTCTGAAAGCGAAGAAAAAGGAAAGTTCGGTGACTCTTTTTGTTTTTTTCCTGCTCTACTTTTTCCAGTTGCTTTACAAAGTTACGGTTTTTTTGTTATAACAATCGTCACCTCCTTCGCAATTTTGATAGAGTACCTTAAACTTCATTTTTTTCAAAAAAGGAGGTGGTCCTGAAAGCTTCTTATCGCTGTCGCTACTATTTTTTCGCTTGGGTTTTTTCCAAGTTGATGTGTAAAATGTTATTTGCACATGATATTATGACACCTAAAAAGAATTTGTTGGACCAAATTTTCTTGACATAATTTCAAGCTTTGACTTCTGCAATTCTGTAATTTGGTGTGAAGGTTTTATTTTGGATCCATTCAACCTCCAAAGTTCACTCCATATTTTTGAAGCAATTAGGCATTTTCCAGAGAATCAATAATTTCTGATAGCTTGAAGTCTATTTATATTCATCTATCCGTCGCATTTCTGCCCATCATTCTCTTTATTCTCGTAAGACTTTGAGACTGCCCTAAAAGAAGTATACAATTTGATTTTCAATCAAAATACTGAATTTTCAAAATTGGCATAATTTGTTCCAAAAGCGCCATTCAAACCGCCAGTCTTGACTACGATCTTTCAAAGGTTCATACGATCATAATGAGCAATTTTGGCGTTTGGTTCACCAATTGAAAAAATTATTTGGGTTGTTATTTATAGTTTTATGCGGCAATTTGTTGGTTTCCGTTTTGTTTATTCATTTCAAAAGAATGTTTATGAAAAAACATTACAACAAAAGTGATAAAATACCCACCCCTTGAGCTTTTAGATTTAAAAATCAAAATTTAACCTGAGATTTGAATTTCAACTCAAAATTATAATTAAAACAAAATAAAGGTATTTTGATTTAATTTTTTAATTTAATTTTATTTTTTGTATTATTTATAGAGTTTTACATTGATCAAGCGTCTTTTGTGAATATTTTCATATTTGTGTTTTTTGCAGTTTATAATCTCAAGGAACTTATGCTTGAACTAAATTTGCCAGAGATCTAATGTGGCTTTCTTTCATAAGTAATAACCTTGTAATATTCTCACAATGACCCGCTTATGAATGCTGCTTATCACTAATAACGAAAATTCTGCAAGTATCCGCTTTTTTCAATACAAATTTTCCGAACTCTTTCTGTTTACAAATCCTGAGGAAAATTCAAACTGAAGATTAATTTACTTATTTTTGAAAACTTTGCTTAGATATTGAAGTTTATAATCTAATGAAATGAGCTCCATTCACGTTTGAGAGTACGGTAGTGTTTCTATGTATTCGGGCTTAGATTCTCACGCCGTTGGGGCTAGGTTTCGGTTTCCATGCGGGTTCGCCCACCTTTCCCATCTACAAATTCCACTTCGTTAGTGTAAAGCAAACAAACACCGTGTCTAGTAGTAGAAGATCTCATTTCCGAATAAGAACTGAATATTTTCGAAGCATAGTGTGTCATCTTGTCTCTCTTTCATAGTATCGCGTATTTTTGTTTTTTTTTATGTAACATGAATCTAAGTTTACAAGATTTTGCCTTTCTTCGTTTTTTCTCTCAAAAAATTCTTAACACCTTACGCTTATTTTTAATTCATTATTTTTGGATCGTTTTTGTTAGCTTAACACGTTTTTTAACAATGTGTATCATTAGCGATGGGTTCATTATTCATATTTTATTTGATTTTTATTTTATTTTATTTTATTCAACACGCTCTTGGCATTCCTTACAAACAAACAAAGACACATAGTTATTCACAAACTAACCACAAGAATAGGTTATCATGTAGTTCGGGTCTAATCTTTTGAAAGAAAAGATCTAGTTTGAAAGTAAATCAAATTTGAAAGTAAAGTCTACTCATATGTTCGTCCTCATGCGCTCAACTGTTTCTTTCTTTCTTTCCTTTTTTTAACATTGACGTCAGAATCGTCAGTATCTGAGAAAAGTGATCTTTAGGTGATATGAAAAAGCTCCATAATCACAGTCTGAAGCAGTTTATGACGTAAAGCATCGATTCTAATTATATGAAAATGAGATATTTTACGATTATTTCTATTTAATTCAACATCTGGAAATATCTCAAGTACTCGTTGACACTGTTTAAAGCGAATCTAGTTCATATCGTGTGCTCAAAAATCTCCAAATCCACTTTTATAAAGAAAGCCCTTTTGACGAAAAATCAGTTTCAATGGTAAAAATCTGTTTACAAAAGTATTGAGTTTGACTTTATTACAAGAAACTATGTTTTAGCAAATTTCGGTAGAACAAGTCTTACTAAATTTTTTTTACCACTTAAAAGACCGTCTTTTCTTGATATGTATTTCGAAGCCCCAAATGATGTATCGAAATCTCAGACAATCTCTTTTCGCCTCATTTCTGGTCAATTTCCGGTGTTTGCAGTTCTAATCAAAAGTCAGCTCTATTTTCATCTTTTTCAAGGAAGAGCAGTAGCTCTCTTAATAGAGAGAGAACCTGACAGTTTCTTAAAGAACTCCTTTATATCAAATCTATGCACCTCTCTCTACTTTTAAATAGAGCAAATGATGTTTCTTGAAAATTCACCCTTTTTAAGTTTAGATTTTTCGTAAAAATTCAAAAGTATTCTTACTACTTGCAGGTACAAATACTCACTACAAGACGGAGATTTCATGGAAACAAACAACAATATTCGCGTAAAGGTATGTGCATTTCTTCTAAAAAATGTTAAAATTTCAAGCATATTTTATTGATACTTACAAACTTATACTATTGTCTCAAGTGCAGTAATCATTTCGAGATTGATGTTTAACAAGGGAGCTTGTGATCAATGTTCTTCAATTTTCTTCGCCGTATAAAATACGGAACTTAGTCTCTTGGACCATTTCCTCTTTTCCGACTTAACAGAGGAATGTACTGACTTACGTTTACGATACACTTACAATCGATGTCAACCAAGTGCTCCCTTTCCGTAGCAGCTACGCGTCCGCAACGCAAGAGCCTAGCATGGCCCGACCGATATGGCGATTTTGGATGCGCAGCGAACGCGACGCGAGGCTCTGGTTACGGTTTGACTGGTGGAAAGGGAACACAAGGTTGATACCTGAGAATGCTATTTTTGGTTTTTGCATCAATTACACCAATACGTCGACATCCTCTTAGTTCGTTTGCCTATATGCGCACTTCAGTTCGTAGGGCATGCATCCATAACTCTTGTACAATACCTCTGTTTTTTTTTTTTGAGAAAACGACGCCCAGTCTCCCGATTCGTGTGACATCAACGTAGATTGGCCATATTGCGCTTCAGAGGAGACGAATTTCTAATCCAAGGGCATCGTTCGACTCAACTCGGCGCGACACATCTTCTGATATGTAGAAGTGCCCGCTTGGACACAGCAAGAGGCTAGATTTCACGAATCGTTTCAGATTTTTGCTTACAGTAGGTTATTTAATGTACTTATTCACTGCACTCACTGGGCAATCTACCGTAAGCAAAAATATGAAACGATTCGTGGTATCTGGCCTCCTACGGTGTTCAAACAAGCACTTCTATAAGTCAGAAGATACGCCGCACCGAGCTGAGTCGAATGGTGCCCTTAGATCAAGAATTCCTCCACTCTGAAGCGACATATGGCCACGCTACGGTGATGTCACATGAATCGAGCGACTGTGCGTGGTTTTCAAAAAACACGAGCGGTATTGCATTTGTTTTAGCTAGTTTTATTTAGGAAACTGAATATGTTTTCACTGCCTTTGTTGATGTTCTATAATAATTTCTCAATGCCAAGTACCATGCAAAGATTCACTGTTACTGTCTTCATTTTACAATTTCCCCTTCGTTCGCGCTGTACTTTACTGTCCAGCTGGAGCGCGCTCTCTTTTTCGAAGCGTTCGCCTTTTTTGTGCTATTGCGAGTCTTACAGTTCTGTCCTGGGCTCGGCACGAGGTGGCTTTTCGAGAATGCGAAAAACACCACCCTCTTGAATTTTTACGACGACCCTTTGACCCTAAACCCTAAACATGAAAAAAACCTCAAAAAACGAAACGTCGACTAAAAAAACATCGCAATTCTACTGTCTTTACGGCCTCAATAATGATAACTCCTTTGCTTTTTGTCTCAAAAAGGATATCCAGCTTGCTTAGACCCCGCGCCCGAACCCTGGTTCGGCACGGATTAGAAAAAAGTCCCAAAATTACCCCATTGCAATGAAGCAAACGGAAGTTTTCGTAGCGTTTTTTTCTGAAATGGAAACATTATGGAAGCTGAATTATTTTACTTGTTGATTGAATTTTGATTGCCACAATTGGCCAGGAAAAAAAACAAAAAGCTTTCATTTTAGGTTGTAGTCAAGACTAAAATGAAATTTATTCGATACATTTAGAAGAGGTGATACTTGAATCATTGTAGCAAAGACGGACTGTTACTGTCTTTTTGATAAATTTGTGGAAAATTGTACGGCAGAAGCAACCAGAATTGAAATTATATTAACTTCTTCTATGATGCCTACAAGGCAATATTTATGAGTACTGACATGAAAGTTATTGCCATAATCATGTACTAGGCAGAGAGAGTAATCCCTAGACAATCTTTCCTTACTTCAACATAAAAGATATGAACTCACTCCATAATGTCTTACAAGCCAAGGGCTTCAAAAGTACTGTAGCGTCTGACAAAAAGAATTTACAAATGGAGTAATAGACAGTAGCAGTATCATTTTTGCAGGATGGATTAGATGGTCTTGGACCGATTGAGGGAAAGCTTCGTAGTTTTGGTTACAAGCATGGATCGTTAGTCGACAATGGCTACGAACTCAAAGGCCTCGGAAAGGCTGTCGCTCGGAATAGAGGTAAAAAGCATTGGCTAGCAAGTTTTTTCTAAAGTGCTAAATCGTACTGTTTAGGCGAGAACAGAAGAGCAACATGTCCCGAAATTTACCTTTACCCTGAACCCAGTTTGCCAACCCGACATATTGTTTTGCGACTCTATGGCGGGCGAAATACTGGAAAGAAGACCCTCGCTCACCAAATTTACCATGTCGCTTCGTCAACAACGCCGGATCAGACGCATGTCATTTGTGAGTTTAAAGAAACATCCAGGCTGTTTTGGGTTCTTGGATTCATTAAGTAAAATCTGGAAGGTCTTGATTAAGCTAATGGTCAAACGGCAGCTTATATGATGCATTCATGGATGAGGTTTCTCAACTTCAAAATCTCACATAGACTGTTCTCTTGCCAAGCGAGCCAATGAGCGCCCCTAAGTACGGTACGCAGTACGGTCTGGGCAGAAGTTAAGGAATTCTCGGCTTAATGGTTTATATGAACTGCCGCTCAGGACCTAAGACTTCCATATAGTATCCATGAAAGGAATCTAAGTGACATAAAAAATCTAACAAGGAAAGGATACTTGGCGAACGTGGCCTTTTGAAATGAAAAGCACACCATTAAATGCATATTAAAGCGCTGATTCCAAATCCGTTTTGATTATATGCTGTGCTCTCCTCCGAAAGAACTTATGAACATTTTTTGTCACCAAAATTTGCACTGTTTTTGGTGCAGGATTCACCAACATCGTTGAAATGTTCGGTTACGCACCACAAAAGAGCGTACAGATAATGTAAAGCTTTAAGTTCTGCTCAAGAAAACTGTCACCGATACATCAGAGTCAAAAAAGCCTAGATACTGACGATTTTGTCCGCCTAAATTTTGCAAAAACAGCATGGAAAAAGATTCATAACTTCGTTCAGGGAGTCGCACAGCAGATATTGAACATAAATTTAGAATCAGCGTTCCAAGACGCACCTACTAGTATGCATCTCATTGAAAAAGGCCACGGTCACCAAGTATGTGCAGTTAGCCAAAAATTCGACTTCAAAACAAACCAGTGAGCGCCCTCGAGCACGGTACAGAGTACGGTCTGGGCGGGAGTTTAGATTTGATTTTCTCGGCTGCGAATGAGTCATATGAATGTCTCTTGGACAGTAATGTACCTAAGATTTTTGATTATTATTCATAAAAGGAACAAGGAAAGAAAATTGAGGCAAGTTGTATGATGCATTCGTGGCGGAGAAATTCAATTCTCAGTGAGCGTCCTAGAATACAGAGTACGGTATGGGTAGGAGTTACGGATTTGATTTTCTCGGCTACGATTGAGTCATATGAACTGCGTTTGGATTGCAATGTACCTTAGACTGTTCGATTGGAAAATCCATAAAAAATCCAAGGAACTCAAAAAATCTAAGCAAGGAAACTCCTGCATTGTCAAATACTACACGCTTTAGCAAGTGAAAGCGAACAAACTGCCTCAAAGACTATCAACTTCCTTCTCAATGGCGAAGAGATACAAATGGAAATTGTCATTGAGTCTACGCTCGAGGTGATAAAAATGCATATTTGATCACATTACTCCATCTTAACCTTCTCAGTCCTTACAGTCTGCGCCATTCTCTAACCATTTAACAATGTATGTTGTTGTTTACTCCGTCGATAGCAGAGAATCTTTCAAGCGAGCAGCTAATTTGTTGTATAGGTGGGTAACTTGATTATATAATCTCGTTCTTCTGACAAACTTCAATTTTCAGGATCTATCAAAATAGAAGTACATATACTGTACCTGTTGTGCTAATCGGAAATAAGATTGACTTGAAACGACACACCACTATTTCAACATTAGGTTTGTTCCTAACCAAGGAGGGCGGTTCCAAAAAAGTTTAAGTGCTTTATTTTTTTCAGAAGGAAGATCACTTGCTAAGATCTACAAGTGTAGCTTTGTTGAAGTTTCTGCACTACTTTCAATGAACACGGATGCTATGTGGACAGAGTTGATCAAGCAGCTTCAGGTACTTTTCCAAGCTTAGAAATTTGCAGTGATGAAAGAAATTTAACTTATCCTACGAGGCGATAAAAACTAGATTTTCGAACCCTTAGTTATGTAACATTAACCGTATGAAACACACTTCTTTGAAAGAAGGGATACTATTCCACAGAAGATTTCATTTTGTCTTCTTTTCCGCCCCAGTTGGAGAAATAATAGGTCTTGCATCAAATCGTCATATCTGCTATCATGTTTGGCCGAAAAATAACTTTTCTCACAACTGACTGTTAGATTCGTAGCAATCTGAGTAGACGTTACCAGTTTGATTTTCTTCTGAGCAGTAATCAGAATTTTCAAGCAAGCACAGTCAGGCACCAGTGAAGAAGATGATTCTTTGAAAAATCACTTTTTGAATTTCAAGCCCCTTTTTGTGCTCTAATGGTGCAAATTCAAGATAATCCGTTATTAGGTTAGTAGTGGTTTGTCGAGAAACAATAACGAAAATCACGGCCCCATACCCAAATGTAAAACTTATCAGTAACTTACCAGCCCAACTAAATTTAGAGGATTTTAGGAGTTTTCAGTCACTTGACATTGCTCTTCAGAGACATGAAGTATAAACACCAAGTTTTCTTGATCAAGCTAAATACTCTCGATTCATAACTTTTTGTGCTTCCCAAAAATTCCTTTTTCTTTCAAGCAAAGAATACGCTTCAATTTTCTTTGATCTACTCTTCACTATGTATTTTTGTATTTAGACTACCGTAAACCAAAAATTATTCTAGCAAGTCTATAGTACTTGATATTTATCCTTCATAAAAATCAAGACATGTTTGACTTTTTGAAGGACCCCACGGAAAACCAGCCGACGCCAGACCCATCATGGATGCAACGACTCGTCTCACGTGGCCGACACATTGCAAAGTCTTGTGAAGAAATTGTACAACGGCTTATCGCTGCGTAATAAATGAACACACTTATACTTTTTTTTGTATATATCTCATCTGAACGGAAAAATTTTTTTTTCATGATTTTCTGGAAAGTTCTTCGACTGTATATAAAGATTTATAGCATTGAGCGTATCAATAAGTGCTTGTTTGTTTTTTTTTGTTTTTTTTTACCATTTTGTCGTTCAAGATTGTAGGGCACTTCGACAACCCGATATCTTGTCGCCATTCGTGTCATTGAAATGTGGTGAAGCAATGATGATTACCTACATAGAAGGTTGGCACCAGCCAAAGCAAAAAGGAGAATTCGGATAAAATCGGATCCCTATGTTTTAGCCTATGTAAGCTTGAGTGTCCCAAGCTTAACCGTGTACAGCTCAGGCGAAAAACTGGACTTTGCTTACACAGCATTTACACCTTCGATAAAGTCTAAAATATGTGGTCAGACCTGTGGCCGTATCATTGATACCTTAAGGTAAATTTTACTTCTAGGTAGTTTTATCACTCATTATCAGCAAAATTACATTGAGAATTTACCTCAAGGTACTTTGTGAATACGGGTACTTGCTGATAATGAGTGATAAAACTACCTAGAGGTAGAATTTACCTCAAGGTATCAATGATGAATACGGCCGCTGGAATGATATCCACGAAAGCTCCCGCAAAATGGGCTTTTCGTGCGAATGAAATCTTAGTCCATGCGGTGCGATAAGATATCGCATTCGCGAATCCATTCATTACATTCAAAAATGCTTGAACAAACCTTTCTCCAACTTGCCTCAACCTGTTTACTTTTGCAAACTCATTTCCACCAAGTGGTCGGTATCAAACTAAGACTGACCTAACATCACAATGACAGTCACGTGGATATTTTATGCCATTTATTATCTACTAGTTAGCTTTCCCGGTCCAGCCCGGGGCATTGTTCACTGCCAGCCCCTCCCCCCCCTCTTATATGTTATGGATGACTTACCCTGAGACATCCGCTTCGAAACCGCATCCTCGTATCCTGAGGTGAAAATGAGCATTACCGCCCTCCTTTGCATGACTATGGGAAAATGCTTGATTGAACATGATAAGCCATCATTTCCTTAGAAAAACGTAAACAGATCGATAAATCGACAAAAGGACCCAAAGAATCGCCGCAAAAGGTAGCCTAGCATCTGCGCAGGGGTCGAAAACATATGTGTGCAAAGTTTACAATGCCTAATTCTAAGCATAGCCAGCAAGCCATTTCGGCAGCCGCGCGTCAGAACGCTCGCGGGCGTTCAGCCTACGGCGGTTTGGGCGATTTCGTGCAACTTTAACGGCATGCGTACTCTGCCGCAGAGCAGTAAAACACATGTGGGCAAGGCTCTTTCCTCAGGGCGTCAGTCTCTCAAGTTTTCGACCGTATTTCCACCTTCTCTAGCGTTTTGGCCTCGCACTTGTGTGATGGCGTATCCAAGGAGGCCCCCCTCTCGCATAGCACCCTAATCCCAAACTCAACTTTGTCTGGACACCGCCTGTAAGATCTCGTGGAGTTTGTAGCCATGACTTCTCTATTGCCAAAAAGGCCTGCTTTCGCGTCAGACGGTATAATATTTCAAATTTTCCTTGCGAGAAGCCATACGTGCGTTTCTTATGTGCGTGTCCCTTTTACTCTGTAATATAGAAGGGTGCGCAAAATCCTATTTTGGCACTTGCAAACATGAGTAATGGTCTCAAAAAATGGATAGAGATACAATTTGCTGAGATTATGTGCTTTGCTTTTGAAATTGTCAAGATTACAACAACAACAACCAATTAAACTTTATTTTGTTAGAACTTTAGAAGATTTTTGAATTTTCAAGTGATTATACTCGATGTTTTTGAAAGCAAAGTTCTTTGATCAGATCTGGAACAAAACTATAGTCCCGATAGTTTCAAACCGTAGCACATACCTTTAAGATTAAGTAATATGTAATATTCTCCTACAAGCTCTTTTACCGGTGACTTCTTCTTGAAACCTTTTTTCTACCCTTCATTTCTTTCTCCTGCTGTTTTGCATCAATTTTTTGATCTTTTCCATGTTCTTCTCTGGTTAAATTCTTCTTTTTTCCAACACCCTTGCTGTGACTAACCCTTGGCTGTGCATGCTTCTCGACTGCTGAATCCTGGTGCTGTTTTCGGTGAATACCCGGTGAGCGTTCTATCTGATCCTCTGTCTTTTGTGTAGCGTGATCTTTTCCTCTGTCTACAACCTGTTCTTCAGTTCGCTTGTGTTCCTTCAAAACGTGAGAATGCAGACCAGAGCAAGTAATGATCATAACGTCGCTAGTAACCGCAGTGTCAATTACAAAAGGATGTACATTATATCACAGTTGGGTATGATTTGAAACTGTACTTCAAATCTGTTCTTAGGCTAACAAGGGAATTTTCAGAAATCGAAGTGGCCAATTTAAGCAAGCTGCAAACCATTAGAAGCAGCACAAAACGCTGACTTTATTCCATATTGCATATCCGCTTAGCGCCTGCGTAGGCGAAATTATGAGTCGTTAAAGGCCGTTATTTTGCTAAGCAATCGTGCATGCAAAGCGCAAATTTGGCAGAAGAGAGCCATGTTGGCTTACTGCTGGGTCAAAAGTTGCAGCTAGGTTAGTTTATATTCTTAAAGCCGAAAGGTGAGCTGAAAGTGCAACAATATGTTTGATTTCACAGTCGATTTTTTTCGCAATAAAACTGCTCATCCGTCCACAAACGCGCTAAGCAGGCATGGAATACAGGTTCGAAATTAGAGTTGATTGCTGCAACCAGTGGTATGCAGCTTGCTTGGATTGGCCACTTATACTTCTGACCATTCCCTTGTAAGGATTGAGTCTCTAATTTCATTTGCACGCATTGCTAGTAAGCAAAGAGTCGGAATTTTCAGGATAAAGTGAAAAGCAGGATGGCATTTTTGATAGTGAAAAAGAAAAACAGCCTTTCACTTTATCTAAAAACATACTCCTAAAAGCGTCACTCATAGCTAAAGTAGCTGAACTTTTAGCAATAGTGTGCAAAATTTCATGCTCTCAATTCATGCCTAGCTACAGCTCAAAACATCACCTTCATAAATAATTATCACCCAGCATCGGTCGTGGGATCCCATGAGCTGGGATAGCCCGCGCAATGCAGCAGCGAAAATAGTATGTAGATTCGCCAGACGAAAGCGTTCTGGCGATTAAATCTGTGCTTGGCTCATCGCTTTCCAGATGTTTCTCATTCATACTGTCTTAGGCCTTCATTCTCACGTTTGCGAGATATAACGTTTTTCATATTTTGGACCCATGAGTGCCACTGCACTCCTCGCCCTCACTCACTAGCATATCAGACAATATTGGACTGGCCTATTCACAATGGATGGATTCCTAAGCTCACAAAAACCACTATTTTTTGCGCGAATGGTCATCATGCGATGGCAAGCCTTCACCTGAAATGTCTCATGTAATTAAGACAAGAATTCCAAACGAATCTGAATGTTTAGCAAGAGGAATGAAGATAATTCAGAAAGGGAGTGTTAAATGTTTGAGCAAAAGGCTAGCTTTTGCGCTCGATAACCATTTCCGCCGCAGCTAGCGCCGCGCGCAGTCTTAATTCGTGGGTTCCTGCAACCGATGGTTGGTGATACACCCTGTACGATTCTTGAAGAGTTCAGTACATAATTCAGTAACGTGTTGTAAAATGCTGACTATCATTATCGCTCCCATCACCATTATCCCTAAATCTGCAAGAGGGTGCACCCTTTTTGTCGTCTTTCTCCAGTTGTAAGTGCGAAAGTCTTCATGGCAGTGAACGGCAGTGAAGATGTTAATGCAAGAACAATAAACGCCCTTACAAACAAATTCGGGGACATACTGCAACAAAACAGTAGCGAACCGGAGTAAGTCATACTATCTCTATGTTTTAGGTGCTGGGTATCAATCGTAGAGCGATGAAAACTCCGCAAGACAATGATCGGACGTTTTGCATCAACCTTGCACGCTAAAAGACTAGAAACTAGGAACCAAATACTCGCGCCGTTTTCACACTAGTAATTGTGTATACAGGCCTTTAGAAGCACAACTGAATTTTTAGCCACCTACAGGGCCCGCCAAAATTAGCGCCAAATGCAGCAGTGCCACAAAAAACCGCTGGATGATTTAAGTAAATCTATGCGCTCTAATCTATCTCTACAAAATATATTTTACACAATTGAAACGATCTTTCTTAAGAATGTGAGAAACGAAAGAGTTAGACTTGCAGCTTTGAAAGAGGCGAAAATGCAGTTCTTATATCTTCATATTTTGTTCCGCAACTCAATGAAATCAAAGTCTTTCTGAATTCCAACCAAGATTGCAGAGCAAAGCGCACTACCACAAACAAGTTGGTTTGCGAGAACTCGCTCTTTCACGAAACACGAAAATGGATCTGCAAATGCCTGCGTTCGGCATACCTTATGTCCAAAATCTATTGTGAGGCCCCAAGCATGCAAGATCCTCATGCAAGAGATATTCCTCATTTATGAGACGTGTAGAAAAATATCTATTATGACAGATTCGTGAATATGGTTTTAGAGCTGATTTGGAAGACATTTTCTGAAATCTCAGACGCGCTCAGGAAGCTCAAAACTCCACTGATTTTCAATATGTCGCCTCCAAAGCATGTTTTTCAAAAAGTTATAACCCCCTCTTTGAGTTGACTTTCAATCTGTAATAGTGTTAGACGAAGACTTGCTCTATTTTAGTGAGCAATTTCGAAAACAGAAAGGTGGACTTTTAGATTGGCAAACGAAGCCGAAGAAGAGCCAAATTTGATATCAGTAGATTTCTCGAATACTAATTATAGAAAACTGAGATGTTGCGCTTTTACCTATAAAGGCGTGAGGTACAAATTTTTCATTACAAGTTTAACTAATCGCCAAAGCGATGTTGGGCTGTGCCCACACAGCCCAACATAGCTTTTGCAATTGCGTAAACTTTCGTTTGCGCAAATTCCGACTGAGGATAGCGTACATATAATGTCTGGTGCGAAGAGTATATCTTCTGAGCAAGGTGCAGGTATTATAGCAGCATTTGTTTAGATAAAGCGATGATTTCTCTCGATTGTTCGTGCATTTGAATCTTTTCAGCACTTGGTTTCCAACTTCACGTGGAATTTTGCAATTCCTTAGAATTCTCGTGTGGCTTTTTTGCTCCATTATAAGGACCGGGCATACTTTACGCGATTTCAGTCTCGACGCGATTTGGCAATTCGCCGGAAGTCTTCAGATCCAACACTAACAAACTGATTTTGCATAGTGTGTATAACTTACGTGTATTGATAAAATGCCTTATATTCTCTACTTTCAGAATTTGCTTACATATTGCCCAATCGCGTCGCGACTGAAATCGCGTGAAGTATGCCCGGCCCCTCAAACGGCATTCCAAAACCTATCTATTATATTAGGTCGTTCCGATAGTAATGTCGCTTTTTTTAAACGTACGCTACATCTCGTGGAACAAAGATGTGTAAGAGATTTTGGTGGCATCTGATGCAGCATTTCATTCTCTTTTCAATGGTTATATAATCACTGCAAAAAATTTGATAACCTCTCGAATCATCAAAATCTGCGACCCATGCTTTTTGATAAGGCCAAGTTTCAAAGTTTTCTAAGTTTTTATAACAATCCTCAGAAGGAGTCCAAGTAATGGATGGATAGGGCAAACCCTACAGAAGACAGCACAACTTTTTCCTACTTTCCAGAGCTCGTCATAATTTTTGTATAGTTTTTTGATGAAACAACCGAAATTTAACAGGCTCATCTCAAATACAAATGCATCAAACATCAATAAATCTTCGGATTTTGTAACTTAAAAAGATGGATTATGTTTTGACACTAACTTTACAAACCAGAAGAGCTTTCACCGCTTCAGACTAGCAACTTTCGAAAATTCCGGGTACAACCTGGGGCGCCTTGGAAAATTTGAATTATGATGATTTTATCTCGGAAAACTTGATGAATCGGAGACAAAAAACAGTTGGTAGAAAGAGGAGGAGAAAGCTGCGTCGAATGACATCCGAGTGCTTGCCGGTTGTTGTTCTGTGAGGTTTGAGTTGACCAAATATGGAATTTGATGGCATTGAGAAATTGGTTGTAAAAACACTAAGAAGCAGACTAAAGAAAAGAAAAAAAGTTGTTTCGTATCCTATAGGGTTTGCTCTACTTATCTTTTACTTGTATCTTTGGGGAATCAGTACAAAAATATAAAAAAATAGCCGAACTTGACCATGACAAAAAGCATGAGTCACAGATTTTGGTAATTTTTCGAGGGCTCATTGAATAATATGCAATGAAATTACAACCTTTAGAAAGAGGATGAAATAATTCATGGAATGCTTCCAAGAAGTCTTGAAAATCTTGATTTTATGAAATGTGGCGTTTATTTGAAAAACGACATTACTTTCCATTACTTTCAGAACGACCTAATAGAACATAGGAGAAATACAAATTATTATCCAGGTTTGGACTGTTTTGGGGCAAGACTCATGTTCCAAGCTGATAACCTGACAATATAAATTTCAAATACAAGAAGTTTGGACAGAATCAAAAAAGACCTAGGCCTTAAAAGCTGTACATCCCATAGCGTGACGTCTCTACGATCATAGTGTATCTATTCAGGTTTTTTTTTCACTCTACATTATCTGAAAAGAATTTTCTTACCTTTGATAGTGTTTTTGTTTTTTCCATTTTTCCATGAGTCCTTTTCTTCTCTTTTTCCAGCTTTGCATGCGCTTCATCAGATGCGGTTGATTTCTCTCCTTTCTTATGTTCTCGTTCGCTACCCTTCTTTGCGTTTTCAAACTTCTCGTTATCGCAACTCTTACCAACTTTTTCCTTCTTTTTCAACTCCTTCGGTTTTCTATCGCCTTCTGCAACCTTAGGAAAGTTGCCAGTGTCGTCCTCCTGTGTTTTTTGTAGCATTTCACTTAAGATTTGCTTTTCAAGTTCTTCTTTCTCCTCAACTTTTACGAATTTCTCTGCAGCTACTGGGGGTTCATTCGTTTTCTTCAGATTAGCCTCCTCGTCTTGCGCTTTCTCTGGCAATATTTCCTTTCTTTCGTCAACAACCTTAGGAATACTTTTTGGACTTTGTTCCTTTTTCAATCCGTATTCCTTTAGATTGACAGTGAATCTTTCCGCTAATCGTTGTTGTGGTGTTCTCGAAGTTGCCATTGGAATTTTCTCCTTTTTTGGTACACTCAAGTCATCAAGCTTTGTCTTCTCCTTCACAAGTGCTTCCTTACTTCGGTGCTTTTCAATTTTTTGCCGTTCATCGAAAATTGCCTTCAATTCTCCTATTTGCTTATCGTCTTTCTTCTCTACTTTTGGCTCAGTGCATTCCTTTTCTTCTCTCCGCTTTTTTGTACTTTCTGCTTGTTTATCAGAAGCTGCCTTCGACACTTCCTCTTTCTGCTTGCTCGGCTCGATTTTCTTTGGTTTTGCAGGTCTTTCCTCTCTTTGGATTTTTGCGCTTTTTTGTGGTGTCTGGGGAACAGCTTGGACAGGCTCCTCTTTTTCCTTGTTCAACTCATTTTTCTTATCCTCAATTCTTTCTTCTGTTCGCTTTCTTGTAGTATCTTGAAGTGTACTGGAAACTGCATTCAGAACTTCTTCTTTCTTTGGCTTGCATAACTCATCTTCCTTAGGCTTTTCTTCAATCAGTTTTATCTCTCCTCTTCTTTCCTCACCTTCTTTTGGTGTTTTGGAGGCCGTCATGATTTCTTGCTTTACTGGCTTGTCCAGTTCATGATCCTTTGGCTTCACTGTAGGTTTTGCCTCCCTTTGCACTTTCGGAGTTTCTAGTGGTGTTCTGGAAACTGCAGCCAATATCAGTTTCTTCTTCTTTTTGCCTAACTCATCTTGCATTGGCATTTCTTTGGCGTGTAGACTTTCTTTCCGTTTTGTACTTGTTTCTCGTTCACCAGGAGCTGTTGTCGACTCTTCCTTCTTCCGTTTGCTCAACTCATCTTTTTCTGGTTTCAACAATAGCTTTTCCTCTTCTTGAATTTTCGTACTTTCTTTTGGTGTTTTGGGAACAGATGCTACAATTTCCTTGATTTTCTTACCTAAACCATCCTTTGTAGGACATTCTACCGTCTTCTTTGTAATTTCTTGAGCTGTAGGGACGGTGGCCGCAACTTTCTCTACTTTGCATAACCCATCTTCCTTTGGCTTTTCTTGGGTGGTTTTAATCTGTTCTTGCTTTTTTTCACTCTGTGTTGTAGATACCAATTTTATAACTTCTTGCTTCGCCTTGCTCAACACATGTTCCTTTGGTATTATACTAGTTTTTGCCTCTTTTTGCAATTTTGGACTCTCTTGTGGTGTTCTGGAAACTGCACTTAGAAGATCTTCCGTTATCGGCTTCACTAGTTCTTCCTTTGGCTTTATGGCGGGTTTTTCTCGCTCTTGTACTTTTGAACTTTCTTGCGGTATTCTGGCGACTGCAATTGAAAACTCTTCCTCAACCGGCTTGACTAGTTCTTCCTTTGGCTTTACAGCGGGTTTTTCTTGTTCTCGTACTTTTGAACTTTCTTGTGGTGTTCTCGCACCTGCAGTTGAAAACTCTTCCTTAACCGGCTTGACTAGTTCTTCCTTTGGCTTTACAGCGGGTTTTTCTTGTTCTCGTACTTTTGAACTTTCTTGTGGTGTTCTCGCAACTGCAGTTGAGACCTTTTCCTTAGCCGGCTTGACTAGTTCTTCCTTTGGCTTTGCGGCGGGTTTTTCTTGCTCTCGTACTTTTGAACTTTCTTGTGGTGTTCTGGCGATTGCAGTTGAAACCTCTTCCTTAACCGGCCTGACTAGTTCTTCCTTTGGCTTTACAGCGGGTTTTTCTTGCTCTCGTACTTTTAAACTTTCTTGTGGTGTTCTCGCAACTGCAGTTGAAACCTCTTCCTTAACCGGCTTGACTAGTTCTTCCTTTGGCTTTGCGGCGGGTTCTTCTTGTTCTCGTACTTTTAAACTTTCTTGTGGTGTTCTCGCAACTGCAGTTGAAACCTCTTCCTTAACCGGCTTGACTAGTTCTTCCTTTGGCTTTGCGGCGGGTTCTTCTTGTTCTCGTACTTTTAAACTTTCTTGTGGTGTTCTCGCAACTGCAGTTGAAACCTCTTCCTTAACCGGCTTGACTAGTTCTTCCTTTGGCTTTGCGGCGGGTTCTTCTTGTTCTCGTACTTTTAAACTTTCTTGTGGTGTTCTCGCAACTGCAGTTGAAACCTCTTCCTTAACCGGCTTGACTAGTTCTTCCTTTGGCTTTACGGCGGGTTCTTCTTGCTCTCGTATTTTTGAAGTTTCTTGCGGTGTTCTGGGTTTTGTTCTGTCGGACTTCAAACCTTTTGTAGAATGATCTGGTTTTGGTTCAGCCGGCATCGCTTTTTCTTTCATAAGTTTTCTGCGTACCACTTTCACACCCTCCTCCTTCGAATACTTTTTTGATTCTCCTTCTCCCCGCTCTTTTTCTCTTAACAAAGGAGTTTGTGTGGGCGATAAGTCTTCTTGTGTTCTAGCCAGATCTTTCAATGGTAAAAGCCTTCTACCACTAATTTCTTTCTCCAGCCGCTTTTCATGTTGTCCCTTCTTGGATGGTTCAGCAGGAGCTTCTGTCGCTGTAGAGCGTTTTATTGTAGTACTTGCCTTTTGCTTCTCGAGCCCTTCTTCTGTACGTCCAAGCTGACTTAAGTACTCGTTCAGGTCCTTCGAATCCACATTGTCATAGTCTTTAGCTTCTCCTTCTGCCAAAGATGCTGCGATGTCCACATGGCCCTTCCTTTTTTCTAGACCCTTTTCAGCCTTGAAGGATGATTTTTCAGGTTTGACCATCTGTTCCTTGTTCTCTTCTGTACGCTGTAAAACAGTGCACTTACAATAGGTTTTACAGATCAGTTTTGCCATTATTCAATTTTGATTTAGTAAATTCATAGATATCTACTAGATATCAGACGTATTAGCATGCTGTATACCTGCGCATTGCGTATAACGCCACGCCACTCAAGATCTTTGCGTTTTTTGCAATCTTTGTTACATTTTGAGGTAGGTAATGAAGATTTGCCCTTTTTTTCGTTATACATCGGGTGTACAAACTTTGATTGCTTAACACGTTTCGGACCGCGAAATCGCGCGCGGCGAAAAAGAGTGTACTTTCAGCCGTTAGCCTACAAAGGGACCTTATTTCGCAGCCTGTGGGCCACATTTGTAATCAGCATGTCAGATAAGCTCCATATCCAAAGTTCTGAGTGAATTCGAAGTGTTTGAATTTTGTCGCTCGAGAGGGACTTTTGTGCTTTCTTGAAAGATAGGAACAAGAACTCAGATTCTAATAGTATTCAAAAGTGTCTATGTTGTACACGGCACACATCAGCATTGAAACTACGGTTTTTCTCTTTGATATTGAAGCAAAGGAAAGTTGCGACGTCGCATGCGTCGTTCGCGTCGCCGCACTTCGTTGCAACTGTTGTTCGATTTGCGCTCATATCTCCTAAACAAATATCGGCGGCACAACTCTACAGAGTCATTTGAAAAGTAGGAGGTTAGACTTTTAACTTATCAACTTTAGACTAAAAGGAAACCTCCTGCAAACGCTAGAAAGATCCCTCAAAGCAGCGTGCTGCACCATGTGCAGCACCGGTCCGAAACGTGTTAAAAAAGTATTTAATCGTAAGATAACTTTTGTTACGCAATCTTTGTCCATCTTCGAAAAAATCTGGAGACTCCAGCAAAGTCTCGTACTCGGTTAGATGACGAGGGGACAAGTACAACAGTTCACATCTATAGTATTGGTTCTGCATGTAATAAAAAGAATGCCGGCCCTTGAATGATAAAGAGTAATTGAGAGTTAGCAAAATAACCAGCTACAGTGATAGCCAAAAAGTTGCGGACAAACCGCCCTCCTTTCTTCGTCGCTTATTTTCAGATGGAAAACAAGAATAAAAAAATGATGAAATTGCATGAGATGATAGAGCTCTTCAAGAACTACAACCCACACATTACGCTTTGTGGAGAACATGGATTCTAAAAAAGTTAGAAATGTTCTACCAAAAAAGTCTAAAAATGGCCGCGTCACAAACTGGCGGACAACAATTTTTCAAACGCGAAACTTTCCTTTTGGGTTCTTTTTTAAACAAAAACACAAGTAATCCGAACAAATAAGCATAGTATCATGCAGAGCTCATCAAGGGCTATAACCTGGTTATTTCTCTCTTCCAAACCAAAATTTCTTCACATAAAAATAATGCGAAACACCCTAACAAAGCTTTCCAGATAAAGTGGATGTTCTTTACCATTCACCACGCATGCTGTGCGTGTGAGTCTCCTGGCTGAAAAAGGTTCTTGGAAGTGCGCGCACAGTATCTCGCCCGCACCTTACTCATGACTTATACCTCTTTATAAGCTTCTAGCTCGGCCGACAGTCACTCTGCGATCCTCCGCTTAGGCTCATTCGAAAAAGCGTGACTTTCTCGACACGAAAATGTGCAAATGAGTTGAGTTTGACTCCCGGAGATTTTACGGATGGGGTGAAAAAGCGCAGCATTAAAGGTGATTGAAGTGAACGCTCTTATCAACATCATAACTTAGAGCTTCGGAAGGATATACTACAAGAAAATTGCAGTTTTGAACCTCCAGGATGGAACTGGTGGCGAAAGGAGCTTTGCTCAAAAGCTGAAAAATCCTTAGCCTACTGCTGACGCTGCGCTTTTTCACCCCATCCGTAAAATTTCCGGGAATTCTCAAAATCAACTCATTTGCATATTTTCGTGTCGAGAAAGTCACGCCTTTCGAATGAGCCAATGCAGAGGCTCGTAGAGTGATTGCTGGCCGAGTTGCAAGCCTGGAAAGTGGTGCAAGTCAGTGGTGAGGTGCAGATGGGGTCATGTGCACGCACTGTCAAGAGCCAGTTTCAGCAAAGAAACTCACCAGTATACGTCCGAGGCATAGAGGAAGGTAAAGAACATCCACTCTATCTGGAAAGCTTCGTTAGGATATTATGCATCAGTTTTTAGGTGAAGAAATCTGGTTTGGAAGAGGAAATTAAATGTTAAATTCAAAAAAATGCAAAATAAAATCCTGGCTTGTGCTTTTTTCAGGAAGTAGCCGTAAGACTATAGCCCTTGGTGAGCTCTGCATAATACTATGCTTACTTGTTCGGATTAATTTTGTTTTCGCTCAAAAAAGAACCCAAAGGAAATATTCGCGTTTGGAGGATTGTTGCCCGCGACTTTGTGACGCAGCCATTTTTGGACTTTTTTGCTAAAACATTTCTAACTTTTTTAGAATCCATGTTTTCCACAAAGTGTAATGTGTAGGTTGTAGTTCTTGAAGAGCTCTATCATCTCATGCAATCTCATCATTTTTTCATCCTTGTTTTTTATCTGAAAATGTGCGACTAAGAAAGGAGAGCGGCTTGTCCGCAACTTTTTGGTCACTGTAGATAATTTTCAAACACGCTGTGTATCACACGGCACGGTTCTTTCTGATTTCTCTTCCCACCTGTGCAGCCTAGGCAGCACAGGTGGGAAGATTCATGCCTAGGTCTCCTCTTTACACTTATTCGACACAGAATTTTTTTTTAAATTTGTATCTATTTTCGGACACGTCTTTTGTATGCAAAGATCAGTAACCTAATGGATACAATTTTCCAAACATTCAGTCTAATTCAGCTCACGTAGTAAGACATTGGTACAGGCTACAAACTTATAATCGTTTTGGAGCCTTTGTCTATAATATCATCCACCCCCCCCCCTTGGTGCACAATTATTATATTCTAATATCAACAAAAGCTCACCTGTGTGAGATCATGCTTCGGAGTGTGGGAGCGCACTTGGAGTTTCAACCCTTGTTCGTTAGCTAAACTTCGTAGATACCTGGTCCATTGTGAAGGAACGCTCTGTAACAACGATATGTATTTACTTTTGGTACCGAGAAGTGTTTTAAGTGCTTATTTGTCACATGTGACAAAGACTGAAAAACAGAATTTTGTCAGAGGGCGCGGATCACCGACCTACCGATCTCCAGTGGCGGGAAGAAAAGCCAGCGCTGACCCCTTCGGCAGGGTATAAATACCGAGAGTCAGGGGGAGTCTGAGTCCGCGCTGAGGAAGCGCTAGCGGGAGCTAACTCCGTCGAAGAGAGGCGGATCTCCCCCTTAGATAGAAAGTAAGTAGTAAACCTGCCGAAGTGGTCAAGAGGGTAAAGCCCGTCGTTTCGTTGTTAAGCCTAGTTCAAGTTACGCATTATTGTTTCTTGTTGTTTGTTGCCGTTTTTCTGAGATAAATTATTAGTCGTTCAATCCGTGCTGTCTATCGATCCGGTTAAAACCGTTATACCACTAGACACCCCCGGTTACAATTTTATATATGAAGCTCAACGTTATTTGTCTGTTGTATTTTAGAAAGTTCCACTTTGAAACAAACCGGATCAAATTTTGCACACATGCACCGGAGCAAAGCGGGTGTCGTAGGCTACTTCTCGTTATTAATCGACATTAATTTATTGACTGCTTAGCAATTTGGGCTAAAGGGCTAGGAGCACAGGATGCCTGATTAGAAATGCAATATTGATCTCCAAAATTATCAATTGCCCGTATGGTTTTATCAGTTTGCAAAGACTGAGTCGGATGGTGCATATTTTATACTTGTTGCAGATGTCCGCCTGGGACCTTCTCCTTTTGGCGATATATAGTCCTCCTTTGGAATCGGATTGGGGAGTGGTGGTAGTGGGGAAGGTGCTGAATATGCTGCGTTACGAAACCACTTTGGAACAGGATTTTGGCAATTGGAAGACGACAAAGGCAGGGAGATGTATGGAAATCGAACGAAATGGTGATTTTATGGTTTGACAGGTTCCGAAGAAGCCAACGAAGGCGCATGCTTGCTACTCAGACAATCGCTAAGAGTAAGCAAACATCGACAATCATTCATTCATTAATTCATTTATTCATACGGTTTATTACAGGCACGCAAAATACCGTGCTGAATTTATTACGGGGATGTAAAATACCGTAATGAATTTGTCTACGGCTTTAGGTAGTCAGTAATGACTGCATATGATGCCAGGTCTTTTCCATTGACAAGGGTTTTTAACTTTTTTTGCCAGTCATTAATAAGTTCGAAAATAATACAGTGAGTTCAAATGTCGTCTTCCGATCGTCTTCTGTGTCTGCCGCCACCGAAACATTGACCGTTGGCTGTTATCTAATTCGTCAAAAGCAGTATGCGCGCATATCTTGGCGCATGGGATTTCTGCCTGGAATCCACGAACGGCAGCGCAAATAATTCGTTCACGGCTGAGAAATCCGTCCCCAGACATTCCACGCCTGCGCCGTGGCCGTAACTCGCGATGACTTGCGACGGATCCCAGCGTGAACGTAGTGTTGAAGTGAGCTAAGTCATTAGTGAGTTACGGTCACGGCGCAGGCGCAAAGGGGTTTGGGGACGGATTTCCCAGCCGTGAATGAATCATTTGCGCTGTCGCTTGGGCTGTGTGTTAGTCAGGACCACCTCATTAGTTCCCATGCGAAAACCCCATGGGCCCAGATTCGCCTGAACGTTGCCTCTAAAGCTCTTGTTCATCGTTCTTCTCTCTCGCGCACGAAGTTTTTTCTTACAATTCTTCAATTTCTTTTCGTAGTACTCTAACAACGTCCTTGTTTGTAGTCGAAGGTTTCCAGTTTGACGATTTCTGGTTGTGAAACGAAATCCAAGCATTAATCTCATCAACGTTCTTTCACATCGGAGAAGTTTCGTTAGTGAACTTTTTGTTAACGCCCACGCTTCACAACCATATGTGATTGTCGGAAGAATTACGCAGAAACGACGCCTTAGATAAACAGCCACTCTCTTGTTGGTGAGT